CCCTGAGCTCCGTCCAGGAGATGAGCAGCAACCCCTGGGCAATGACGCATCCAAGCCGCAGGGCTGCTTTCACGCGTGGGTTCTCGGGCAGAGAGCACGCGGGCCAGATCCATGCGCAGCACAGCCGGGAAGGCAGGGCAGCTACTCTCTAGGGAAAGCGGACGGGGGCTCCGGGGTGAGGCCGGGGCAGAGGACACGGGTGGGGACGACCACAGCGAGGAGAGGCAGGTCGGTCCGGCTGAGACCAAGGGCTCACCCTCCGAGCTTCACTCTGATACTTGACAGCCTTTTTGGTATCTGCCACGGCCCGCTCCACGAAGCCCACGGACTGGTCCATGTTGTTCTCAATACGGTCAATCATGGCTCCCTTTCCCCAGATGCAGGAGGTGGTGGCAGCAGAGACAGAGATGGGGCGCGGGAAGAGAGAAAGAGCGAGAGACAGCGCGCGATGGACGCTCTCCTCCGAGGGCGGCGGGAGAGCCTCACCTTTCGGGCCTGGCCCTGGTACTTCAGGGCTCTTTTGGTTTCATCCCGAGCCTTCTCCACGTGATCCACCGTGTGCATGACGTTCAACTCTATGTTATCTATCATCTCACCCTGCAGAGAACAGGCACCCGTCACACCCGCGGAACCCAGCGCAGGACAGTCCCGAGCCACTGGGAGCAAGGGCTTCTCTTTCCTATGGTCCTCGGCACCGAGAGGAGCACGTGGAAACGTTCACGCGCAGCCTAGCGTGGGGCGCACTCTCCCACCTTCTGCGCGATTACCTACGGTCCCCCAGGCCTGCGTGGCTGTCGCTCATTCCAGAAACATTCACTCAGTTACGTTCCCGTGAGGGGCACTGCACTGGGCACCGGGAGCGCCTTGTCTACAGGCCTGGTATTTTCTGAAGAATGCCACCACCACCTTTTTTTTTTTTAATTAAGAATGCGAGGAGAGGAGCCAAAATAATTGTCTTGTGCTCTTTGGGCATGACCAGGATGCTGGCCTCTTCCTGGTCATTCAGAGCTGAATCAAGTTCATCCTGCCTGAACTGAGTTTGTTCACTACCTTAGAAGAGTGCCCAGCACACAGCAGGTGCTCAATAAATAGCCCAGGCTGGGAACAGACACTTTCTCTAAGATCTTCCCAGACCCCAGAAGGGACAGACATTGTTTTACCCAAGCTGCTTGGCTATGACCCAGTGGTCTCAGTAGGATTCCCAGCCATCTCGCACACATCACTTCCTGACTGGAAATGTGGTCTCTCCAATTACTGTCTGGGCATCTGAGGATGGGAATTCCCCTCACCCACCCAGACCTTCTTCAACCCGAGCCATCACTTTACGCAACTCTCTAGCCAGAGACAGACAGACACTTACCATAACTTGACTCTCAAGCCAGTTCCTCGGCAAGGCAGTGTGGGGAGAAAAAAGAAGAAGGGGGATGGAGGGACAGGAGACGTGGTCTCAAAGACCAGAAGGGAGTGAAGGAAAGGTGCCTGATCCCTGAGCAGGGAACCGATGTCAAAACCAGTCAAGCCGTGCTCGGGCCTCAGTTAGGTTTCCTTCTACAAAGGAAGCAGTTTTCGGTCCTTTCCAGGTGGCAGAGCCCCTGGGAGTTCGTGGTAATAGTGGCACATCTCCCTGGTATACTTAACTGTATCAGAAGAACTGTATCAGGAGCCATGTGACCAGGGGACACTAACACCATATGCAGGTGATGGAGCTTTCCATCCCTGAGCAAGTTTACCCGGGACAGAACAGGCTGCCAAGCTAAGCACCATGAGTGTTTCAAGTTTTTCTTTAAATATTATTTTGTGGTTCCTTTGCTTTGTTGTCTGCTCTTATTCCTTACCAAAAAAGAGTGTCAAGTTTCTTTGGAAAAACACACAGAAGAAAAAACAAAAATGGAAAAACACAAAAACCTCTGTTAATCCTAACTTTCCACTGTGAACTGGGGAAAAGATCCAGTGTTCTCATTGTCACCAGTGTAATGGTTCCTATCAAGATACTGTTTTAAGGCATCATCACTAAGAACTTACATCTTTAATTAAAAAAAAAGACAGGGATCCTGAGGCTGGAGGGAACCAGGTACTTGACAGAGCACATCCAACCCCATATTAATTAGAAATAACTTCTGGGCCAAAGTAACAGGCACAAATGACGAGGCTGAGATGGCCCGAAGTGTCAGCAAGTAAGGGAAAGCATCCGTTTCCCTGGGCTACTAGCATTCTGTTACTCCACTAGGCAAGTTCCCAGTGTTTCTCCCACCCCACCGGGCTGTCCAGTGGCCCCCTGCCCCCTTCTCAGGAGAACCTAGGCTTCCTCAGCTTGTGCTGGTGCCCACTGCCGTTACCTGGTTCTCCACCAGCATGGCGATGTCCATGAACATGTCGTGAAGCTCCTTGATGCTGCTCTCCAGCCTCACGATGTCTTTGTGCCGCCCCTCGATCTCGCTGAGGGCTTGCTTGGAAATCTGAGAGTCGATGATCTACGTACAGAAGACCACATAGAGACTGACCATCAGCCACCGTGCCCCCTACAGCCCTCACACACACCCCCGTGGGGTTCCCCGACCCCCCGACCTCCACGTCCATCACTCACCCCCGAGGTGAAGATGGCAGGGTTTCCACTCTCCAGCATCTCCTCCAGCTCCTCATCTGTTGTTTTTTTGCCGGCTTTAGAACAAAAGAAGGAGAGCCTCAAATATAAGCACATCATTTCAAAAGTTCCCTGAAAATGAGGAACAAGGTCACTTCACTACAAAACCACAGCCTCTCCACCACTCCCCCAGCAGCCTCCAGACTCGCCTTTCTCCAGATTTCTCCCCTAATCCAATCCATCCTTAACATTATGTGATCACCTTCCTGAAGCACATGTCAGATTACATTCCTTCCAGGCTTGGAATGTTTACTGGCCCCCTTCGCTCAGTCACAGAGTCCAAGGTCCTCTGGACAAGGAGCCGGTTTCCTGGGTGAGCCCTCCCTCCGTCCATTTAGTCCTCCCCCTATTCCCAGGCCCTGCACAGCCTGCCACTCCGGAACACACGTGCTTTGCTCTGACTGCATCCTGGCTCACACGGTCCCTGCGCTCAAAGCATATTGCGCCCCGCAGCGCCAGGCACTCCGTGTTACTAATTCATAAAGGGCGTAGCTTTATTAACATCTTTATTTCTCCCGGCAACCAGCACAGCACCTTTTATTTCATAAATGTTCTTTGCTATCAGACAGCCAGCCAAAGATGCCATGAGTCCTGCGGAGGGCATCTGTGGAGCAAGTGTTTCCCTCCACGGGTGAGGGAACCCTGGCTCCAACAGCAGCAGAATGACCTGGGCCCGATCAGCACTGTGCTGCCTTTCAGTCTAAGGATGCGCCAGGGCTGTGAGGCTCGCTGGTCCTCGGCTTGGGCTCAAAACACACGGCAGAAGCCACCGGAGGGGCCGCCCCTGCTCCTCCCCAGGCCTCCCCGCTTGGGCGGGGCCAGCACGCGGCAGGAAAGGGGGCGGGGCCACGCCCGACTTCAAACACCCACTGATTTCGAGCTGCCGCTGGATCCGCCCTTTGCTGCGTTCACGGAAGTCCACCTGCGCCTCGTTGTATTTGGTCATCACCTCCACGAACTTCCGGGAGAGGACGGAGTGCTGCGGGGACAAGGTCAAACGCTGTAAGCCCCCCGGAGGGGAGGGAGGTTCTTGTAGAACCCCCACCCCACAGAGCCTCGTCCCCGGCGTCAGACCTGGAGCCAGAAGACCGGGCACAAGACTCAACCTCTTGGTTTCCTAACTTTTTGGTTTTCCGGACCACTGAGAATGTCTGCTGACCTTTCCAAAGCACGTTCTCAGCATCTGTTTACCTGTCCTTCTGAACCCATACAGTAATTGTGAGGCCCAAGGAGATACTCTCTGAATCTCAAAGGTCCTGCTTTCTTTTCTATTTTTTAAACTGAAGTTGGTTTACAATGTCGTGTAATTTCTGGTGTACAGCACAAATATTTCAGTCATATATTCCTTTTCTCTTCCTGAGATCTCCAGGTGCTAAGAGCATGTGCATCAGATCACGTCTTCCTCTGCTGCTCTCCTGTGGGTTTTATGTCATAGTTTCCTTGTGCCACCTAAACATCGTGCCAGTTCTTCAAGGACAAGGATCCTATCTTTGATGACCACCAAACAGCCTGACTCCAAACTGGAGAACTAAGGACCGACAACCACTGGAGAGACTTCGGTTTCTCACCTGTGAACCAGGGAGGCACACTAAACCCTAAGCTGCGCTCAGGGAGCCTCAGGGGCTTCCTTAGAGGAGCGAGTGAAAGAGGGGCCCCCAGAGCTGGGCTCGGCCCCTGTCCCCTGCTTCAACCTGCACTGCACCCCCTACCTGTTCTCAAACTGAGTTCCAAATAAGTTGAGGGTTTTTTTTTGTTTTGTTTTTAACTCTATAACTAGAAAGGGGAACCCTCCTACACTATTGGTAGGAATGTAAATCGGTGCAGCTACTGTGGAAAACAGTATGGAGGTTCCTTAAAAAACTAAAAGTAGAGCTACCATATGATTCAGCAGTCCCACTCCTAGGCATTTTTCCAGGTGGAAAAGATGAAAATTCTAATTTGAAAAGATGAAAACTCTAATTCAAAAAAGATACATGCACCCCAATGTTCACAGCGGCACTATTTACAATAGCCAAGACATGGAAGCAACCTAAATGTCCATAAATAGATGACTGGATAAAGACAGACACAGACACAGACACAGACACACACACACACACACACACACACACACACACACGAATATTACTCAGCCATTAAAAAGAATGAAATATTGCCATTTGCAGCAACAAGATGGACCTAGAGATTATCATACTAAATGAAGTAAGTTAGACAGAGAAAGGCAAATATTATATCACTTAAACTGTGGAATCTAAAAAAAAAATACAATCAACTTATTTACAAAAACAGAAACAGATTCACAGACATAGAAAAGAAATTTATGATTACCAAAGGGGCAAGGGGTTGGGGAGGAAAAACTTAGGAGTATGGGATTAACAGATGCACACTAGTATATATTAAATAGATGAACAACAGGGTTTACTGTATAGCACAGGGAACTATATTCAGTATCTTGTAATAACCTATAATGGAAAAAAGTCTTAAGAAATATAATAGTATGTGGATAACCAAATCACTTTGCTGTACACCTAAAAGTAACACAATATTATAAATCAACTATATTTCAATAAACATCTTTAAAAAAATTTAAAAGACTCCACAGCTAAGAAAAACAAAGAAATGTAAAGACGGGGCTAGACGGTTGTTGGACCAGGGAAATCTCACCTGGGATTTCCGAATCCGAAGGTCTGCTGACGACCGGACCTCGTCTTCTTCAATGTGCCTCTCCATGCCTGGAGAGGAGAGAAGGTGATTCTAGCTACACACCAGCTCCTCTCCTCCAAGACACAGGCTGTTCAGCTCAACCTCGTCTCTCATGCTCACACACCTGGCCCAGGAGACGTAACGGCAGGCAGGCCCAGACTCAAAAGATCAGCTCACACGTGAGCCTCAGGACTCACACACCACTCAGAACTGGACACAGGTCTCCCCTGAATACATCTCAGCACAGGGGTAACAGCATGAGTCTCTGTCGCCAACAGACTCGGGCTCAAATCCTTGCCCTGCCACTTAGTAGCTATGTAACCTTGGAAAAGCCACTCAACCTCTCTTAGTGTTCCCGTCTTCTCGTCTGTAAAACAGAATAAATCTCGGTGCCCTCCCTCACAAAAGCGACGTGAAAATGACATGAGAACGTCATGGTTCCGTAGCGGGCACACGATCACTGCTCTGATTGGAGGCTGCCACTAATGACCTCCAGCTCCACCCCCGTGAAGACAGGCAGTACAGTCTGTCTGGGGGGAAGAAGTGATAAATGAGGCTGAGCAACACTGCTTTCACTCTCTGACCAATAGCAAATACAGTGGGGCAAGAGTGCAGACCAGGGCCATGGAACTGAGAAACCCTCTGGGCCCCCAGAGGAACCGACTCTGTGACAGTGGCTTCACTGAACAATGCCCTAAACTGCCGGGTGGGAGTAACAGGAGGGAGATATACCCCCGGCCCCCAAGAAATGTCTGTAGACTGAAGAACCCAGCTGGCATCCACGTATCTCTCACATCACAGTTCAAATGTACATAGGTGCTGGGGAAACGGGATCCGGAAGAGAAAAGTCAGTCACACAGGTGTTCAGTAGCTGACAACACACTTTCATTCCCATCTCCCAACTTCAAGTCCAGACTCTCTCAACCACAGTCATGACTCAAGGGCAGGTAAAATTTCTGGGGCTGTCATAGTTCATTCTGGGGACAATGCTCAGACCATAAGCCCAGATGCCACGAGTGGTGTCACTCCCAGTGGGAAGAGTTTCAGTCCAGAAGGTGGGACCCCGTGGAAGTGAGATGGGGGGGCCGGGGGCTTCCCGGGCGGGGGGGCTTCCCATTCTCCGTGTTCCCTTCTTACTTTTCAGTTTGTTCCGGACATTGTTGGCTCTTTTCTTGATCTCAGTTGTGAGCTGCTCCAGGTCATCCTTGGTTTCTGGGTACACAAAGAATCACGGAAGACAGATGGCTTAGTCAGCTACAACAGTCAACAGAGTGGGTGGGGTGCGTCCTCCGGCACCCACCGCCTGGAGCAGTGCATATGCTGGTGGGCTCCCCAGACGTCTGTCATTAGAATCACACAGAGCTCGTTTTGAAAAAGCATTCTTTCTAGGCACCCCATCCCAGACCTACAGCATGAAAATACCTTGTGGAAATAAAAAGGGTGTGGGGAGGACTGGGAAAACATTTCAGGCAGAGGAAACAGCACAAGTGCAGCAGGGGAACCAAGATGAGGTACGTGAGAAGCAGTGAGAGTCATTGTCAGTCATGAGAGCAAGGAAGTAGAGGGAAGTTTGGCTAAAAGGGTCAGGTGGGACCAGGAAGAGAAGAGCCATCAGCGGCGGGGCAGTGTGAGCTCAGAGAGGGAGGAGGATGGGAGCTGAAACGGCACGGAAGATAATACATCCCTTCCCCTACTGTTCACAGAGGGAGGAAACCAAGGCTCGGCTCCAGTGGCCAAGGGTCACTGTTGGGCAATTTGCTTCTCAGTAAATACTCACTTGGCTCCGGAATGGGTGCAGACAGAATGATACTGTAGAGCTTCTTAGCTTCCTCCACGTGCTCTGAGATCTTGTCAATGTTGAGTCGAGTTTCCTCAATCTAGAGTTAGAGAGACAACAGCCTTTGTCACGAAGAGGGAGAATAGATCCATGACTGAGATGAAAAATCAGCAGAGCGCCCTGTCCACCTTCTGGATCTGCGGAAGAAGCTGGGGACTAGAAAAGCTTTCTGAGGACCAGTCAGCCCAGGGAGTACCCTTTCCATCCACAGTCAGACAGACTAATGTCAACAGAGCAGTCATTGAAGATCCATCCTCTTTGCTCCCTGAGAGGAAGCCATCTGTTCACCTTGGATGGGACAATTCTGGCCACAATCAGGCAGAGTCGGGAAAACCCATGAGGAATAATCAGAGGGAAGGGTCCAAAAACCTTTATCAGGCAGACTTTCAGCTCCTCTGAAAGGGGAACAGCAGAGAGTGAGGATGGGAGAGAGGGAAAAGGAAAGAAGGAAAGAAAAGAGGTGAAAGGGAGAGAACAAACCTAGAGAGTGAGAAACGAAGGGAGAAACATAAAAGGAAGAAAGGGAAGAGAAGAAGAGAGAAAAGGGAGTGATAAGTAATGACCATCTTGGGAGAAGCCCGAGCTTCTCCTGGACACACGATTTGGGGAAATGCCTCTTAACGAGCTGACTGCCTCAGATGCTCAAGACCCAGGAGCTCGAGCCATGGGCTGTTTCTGCCCATTTCGAAGGTTCCTGACTGTACAGGGTGCGTATCAGGAAGCACGTCCCGCCGCCGCTCGTTCCCAGGTGGAACGCCCTCCCAGGACGCTGCTGCGGGGACATGGGAAGTTCTGCTGTGGCTCCCTCTTCGAAAGCATGGGCCACACCAGCACCATGGGCATTTTGATTTTGATTTAGTAACCTAGTAATTTAGTCAGTTCACCAGGTCACCACAGAGCCCCTTCAGGACCTCAGGATGGGCAAATGGCCACTCACAGAGCCTTTTTTTTTCTTTCTTTTGAACTTTGTGTCTTTGTTTTTTCTTGGAAGGGCTGGCTTTTCTCAAAGGTGACTTTCTGAGTATTTCATGGTAGCAGTACATGCAATTAACTTCCTTTTGTTCATTTGCCAGATAACCAAAGAATGGGGGTGGCGGCGGGGTGGGGTGGTGGGACTGGCAGGAAACCTGCAAGTACTGAATCTGAAGGCTCAAGGGCTACTTTTCTGTATGTTTGTCTGGGGTTAAGTACACTGACAATGATACATTTAAGACTTAAAATGGATGTAACATAGACCTGTATCAGAAACACGCCTTTCACTGTGTCTGTGAAGTCACCCTCACTGTCTCCTTTTTATACATGAGAACACTGCCACTCACAGAAAGAGGAAGTGACTCAAGGCTATATATACAAAGAGGCAAAACTGACGTCTGAACCCAAGCATCTGTTAGATTCAAATCCCATTACCACATCCAAAAAAGAAAACCTCATAAGAGCATTTTCTGAGATGTTCTCATTCATCCTCATTAACAGAAAGGGTTCTGTGAAAACATAAATGCCGAGATAGGCAAATTAACCACATTTCTTTATTATAGGACCTCTTAGAGTCGTTATCAGGTTCGTGTGCATTTTAAACCTCCATGGGAGGAAAAGAGTAGGAAGCATTTCTCAAATGTATTTGATCATAAAATTCTCTGTGCATCTCATCCTGCCGTCAGCCCCAGACAAGGAACCAGGGTCGGTTCTATGGCAACCCTGACAATCCTGTCCCTTTGCTAAGTTCTCACTTTCCTGGTCTCCCTTCCAGCTCAGAGTGGCCATGGCCATGTGATCCACTACCAGCGGATCGGCCACAGCGGAAGTCAGCATGGAGGATTTGGGTAGTTTTCCTCCCTGATCAAAGGATCATTTTTTTATTGAAGTACAGTGTATTTACAATGTGTTAGTTTCTGGTGTACAGCATAGTGATTCAGTCATACACACATACACATACTCTTTTTCATTATAGGTTATTATAAGATATTGAGT